TTAAAGCCATCTTTAGATTCCCGATTAGCATGTGGGGTTATAGTCATGTGACGCTACAGTCCATCACCACTCAATTCCCATCCGTCCAGCTGCGAATACAATCAAATACACGTTTACCAACATGGTTGACACCAGGGATGCATTATTTGAGCATCACACAATAGCTGTGCCTGTGATGTGTTTACTTAACCTGGATCAACATTTAGCTGGAGTTAGAGCGAAACACGGAAGTTCGACCTTGACGGTGTCCGCCTCTGTTTAGAATTAAGAGTCAAGGTGGCTTCATCGTCACATTAAACATATACAGTCACACAGCATACAGTGGCAGGAAGTAATGTTCCCTGGGACCACAGTGCTACATATATACACAAAGTGAATAGACAGACAGGAGGAGCCGGAGTAGCTGCTGCTTCTGCACACTCCGCCATCTTGGTTCAATCCAATTTAAGCCCCCTACCCGACATATCAACTCACACTTGTAAACTTGTGAGAAGCCACATGCAATATACTTGTATATTTCATGTGATGTCACCACTGGCCAACAAAGGTGAAATGACGTGATTCAAAACGGAGGACCCCTACTAATCTACTCATCTGGGAGATGGAAACATGCTCAAGGAATGTAAATTAAAAAATATATATGTCCCTGTGCCATATGTGAAAATACAAAAGAAAAATCTGTTAGGTAAACTATGCATCGTTTAAACACATGAAATGACAAACAGGAAAACATCTGCAATGTTTTAGATCAGTGGTTCTCAAACATTTTTGCACCAAGCGACCCAATTTTTACCATGCCAGCTGAGTCGCGACCCTGTATCGAATATAGGTTTAAATTAACGCTACGATCAAGCGCGCATTGCGCTCTGCAGTTTACGCCAATCAATGTCTATCGCGCAAATCTGATTGGATGTGCCAATTAAACATCTGTAGTTTGGTTTCTTGGTCTGGTTGAGAGTTTTCTAGTTTTGCGCTAAGCATTTGTAGACCCAAGACCCCTTTATAGCCTATAGGTTAACTCTAGGATTGGGGCTGGGAAATCTGATCGTGGATCAGCATAGGAGATCGATGGTTTTATAATCTTTACATTTACAACTCTCCTCGCGACCCACATTTGGGTATCTGTTTTAGATTGCGATCTTTGGCATTTTAACACTTACATGGTCTTACCAGAAATCTAAAGACTTGTCATCGACCTTCCACAATAGACCTATCTATGTTTTATATTATTGGTGTACCTTATACACCGTAATCGTATAAGTTGGCATATGACAATTGTCATTTTAACAAGAAATCCTGTCCTATACATTTAACTTTAACGGCACAAGGGAGAAGCGTTCCTATCTCAAAACGTTAAACCAAACCTGCTCAGTTACTTCTGAGTTTAAATCGCCGGTCTATAGCACAGGGACGCCGGTAACAGCCCACACGAAACGTGGTTTGATTTTTTAATAAAGACACGCGGTTTTACGCAGTTTGACGATTAAGAAACTACTACGTACTGGGACCACCCCCCACCCCAGGCGCGTAACGCGCATTGCCTGCCTCCCGTCACTTGGCCGTGAGTTGGCGGAGCGTCACGTGGCTCTACAAAAGCTCGGCAGTCGTCGCTAGCTGCGTCGCTTGGAGCTGGAAGCGTGGAAAGACGCGCTGCAGTCTCACGGGGGCAGAGCAGTGATGTGCATCTGAAGGCAAGGCTAGTTAGCTTCACGCCAGTTTAGAAGTGACCTGTACGTTTTATTCCCCATATGAAACCAACATTTCTGAATATGAAATCATTTTAAACAGAACTTTAACAGAAGATTCAAGCTGATTTTAAGTCCAACCTTATCCAGATTTTTTGTTTCTTAATAATTAGACTGCTTTATATTAAATGTCAATGCGCGCTATATACATGGATAAATACAGTTAACCAGAGTTGAGATCTGATTTTTTTCCCGGCAATTCATGACTTGGCAAACTTTGTAACTCCACCTCCTTAAAAGACCATTGGGGTAGAGATGGAAGGAACTTGGGGCGCTTAAAATAACTGAAATAACAGAGCTGTGATCTCGACGACTCCATGGCTTATTCACATTGTGCTGGATAACATGCAGTCATGTCTCTGAAATGGGGATAAACAGCGAGCGGGAGGCAACGCAATGGAAGTTGTTTTTCCATCGAGTCATGCCAGTTTAGATTTGAGACCATACACTTTCCTAAGAAAAATACACCGGGAATACAAAAAGCCATGGAGCCGAGATATGGTACGGATCAAGCGATCGCCTGCGTGATGCACAAGTAACGATGGGACATTAAAAAATCACTATTCCACACAGGTGAGTTGATATCACAGTTGGCGTGTTTAACTTATTTACATCTTTGTACAATAGGCCTATATGCTCAATAAAACCTATATCCTTCAATAGTTATAGATGAAGTATCACTAAAGCACTCACAGTGGCGTTGAAACGTTATCCAGCCGAACATGTGCGGAAACCAAGTAAAAGAAAAACGCATTTGTTTAATTTACTTTGAGATGCATTTTTGGATACTTTACAAAAGGCAGATTTCGCAAACGTTGTTCCAAATATTTTATTTTTGCTTAGTCTATGTGCACGATTCTCTATCAGGAAAATCCAATCACTAACAGCTGCTGTAACACTAAGGCTTTGTGTCTGGAAAATAGTTTGTATTGCTGTTAATTCTGAGTACTTTAAATTATTTAGCGCTCGTTAGGCTATCTGAAGCGTTCGTTTACTAAATACAGCGAATTCAGCCTTGTTAATCATTATCTCTTTATTGTGTCTTCCTCCTTGCATCGTTTCCCAGATGAAATAAACGCCTTTTAAGGAATCGCGGATCGGATTACTTATTTTTGTGGCCATCTTAAGATTTTGATCACGTTTTGGACAGCATGCATAGGATTAGTTAGAAGAAAAGTCCTAATTGCCACCGTATTAGAGTGTAAGTGGGAGACGCTGTGTGTCGGTCGGCCGCCGATCGCACAAAGCGCACACGCGTAGCCTGTTACCCGGGGGGGCTGCCTTTTAAGCCCGATTCGCTGTAATCATAGAAAACAGCGATACATTCAAAGACAGAAAGAAAATAATCACTTTCCAGTTATGTTTAATGGCAAAAGTGATGAGAATACGCTGCTAATAAGTCGCGATGTTCCTCTATAACTAAATACGTGCTACTGAATGTGGACAATAGTCGGACAATACAGTTTGTCTCACAATAGATATGCTACTGACTCGCATTAATTAACATTGTCAGTTATTGATGTTTTGGTCACAACCTAATATTTAATAACGTACTGATTAATATTAAAACTAGAATAAGCATAGTTTGCACACAAACAATTCCCATTCTGCTGGGCGCGGGGGGGCGGGAGGGGCGCTCTAGTGCCCCCTCAATAATTTCAGACGAATACTTGATATTGTTCTAGATCCGGCAGTCTAATGAAAACCCTTCTGTTATAAATAAAAAATATTTTTTTCCTTAAAATTACTATTATGTGGTTTCAGATAACCAATAACCAATCTGGTTCAGCAATTTATTTGGTGAAAACGGTACATGATGTAGTTCTATGGAGGAGATCTTTGAGCAATCTGTGAGTACCATTTAGCCATCGAGGTTTCATCTGGGGTACACGCACGGTTAAGGATTTTTAATTAGTTTTGTGCGGTATAGCTGGCGCATACGAAAATGATTTTTTAAAGCTGCCCCAGTGCCCTATGGATAAAGTATTCTGGAGATCGCATTCTGTCTACATTACCACTGTGCTTGTCAAATAAGTAATTCAAGCGCCAAACATAACACTTAATGTAGTCGCATTAGGTTCTGTGCATTGTTTTGCGCGAGCAGAATTCTTTTTCCTGTGAAACATTTTTTTTTTAATCGTAAAAATGAAGTTTACGTGAGGGCAGCAGATTGTCAATGAACTGTGTAGATCATAGAGGGAGTATATCGGGAATATTTTTGCCATTTATTAATTCTTTATACTTTTTTTTAATGCCAATTTTTCCTCAGACTACAAACAACAATGAAATGCTAAATAAACTTTCCTTATATTAGTATTTTTTGTGCTTATGAACAGTCTCTGTGCCCATGATTCACCCCTTATTTGGTCATATTAAATTGGTATTATAAATAATTTGTGTACAGTTTTATCTAACAGTTAATTGAACAAATTTTGAGGGTTTTTTTGGGTCCAATATTTAACTTGTTCTTAGCTAAGTTAAAAGGTTAATTTGCTTAATGCCCTAATGCTGGCATTGTTAAGTAGTATTTATCTTTTAGGCATAACATATGCCTAGGCAAGTCTTGTTTTGGTAAGTAATTTTTTCCCTCTTCTAACGAAGATCTGTCTATCAGAGTAACATTTTTTTTTGTATATAGTACTGATCGTTATTTTATGCAATGGAAATGATCATTTCCAGAACGTCATCCCTGTCAATAATAGTTTGTTGGTTCACATGTTTGATGGGGTGTCACAGATTAAATGGTTCCACGTGATTAAAATATTTTCTCCTTTTCTGAAGCATTTATAAAGTCTCTGCAAGTTGCAAGTAATGAAACATGCATATCCTCGCTACTATAAGTATATACCACTCACTACCGAACATCAATTTGACATTAGAATGTCTGATAAATTACCTTAGAAGGTTTTAAATCATGTTAACATACCAATATTTTCTTCTATGAAATATCTGTCAAGAGGACTGATGACACACTGTATCATACTAATTAGGAATTAATTATCTACTTTGAATATTCTTACTAATACTCTGACTGGAGTACACCTAAGTGTTGTTTTGCCAGCTATGAAGAATACCATTTGGTCAAAAGTCAGCTCCATTATGTCACAACAGATGCAGTTACGGAAGGTCCTTGTTTATTACTAAGCTGCTGTTTCTCTGCCTGCCTTAAATACCATTCCTGCTTGCACAAACATGGTATGATGTCTCTTCATGTTTGCTTGCCTCTAAGAGTTTTGGAGGCAACAGGGCAAAAAAAACTGCCATTGGTTATGAGTCCGGGTGGATTCGACGTCTTTTCGCAATCAAAGAAAAACCAAAAGTAGTAATTAAAGCAAAGTTTGTGATTCATGTGCCCACGAACCATTCTGCAGAAGTTCAGATCAGTATGTACTCTTTTTGGCTCGTCAACCCAACAGGAGCGTGCAGATTCTGGGAAAGGGGAAGAGATCCAGCCGCATTTTAATTAGTCAACACAGTTGCTAATCACAAGCATCCCCCAAGGAAACTATTATTAACATGTTTATTGTGTCCAGATTCACCGGAACATCCACGGTGCCGCTTTGCAATCCCATTCTGTCAGTATACTGACATGACAGCCACCCAGGGAGGCAGTGACTGTTAACGATATGCAAATCACAGAGAAGGGGCGGAGACTCATTATAATACTGAATATTTCACCAATCACAATGTACCCCTGAAACCACCATGTGCATCATTCCTTTGTCAAGCCACAGTTAAATAATCCACTATGATAGACACTCACTGAGCACTTTATTAGGAGCCCAGTACTAATATGGGGTAGGGCCTCCCTTTGCTCTCAAAACAACCTCAGCTTGCATGAATTCCACAAGACATTGAAAGTATTTTCAGGTTTTGGTCCATTCTCCCCAAGGTGCTCTACTGGATTCAGATCCAGTGACTGGGAAGACCTCTGAAGATCAGGAGACCAGTCTGAGATGATCTTTGCTTTGTGAAAGGTAGATTATCATCCTGGAATTAGCCATTAGTAGACGAGTGAATGGTGGCTGTGAATGGATGGCCATGGTTACCAGCAAGTGGCATTCAAGTAATGATGCATTAGGGTTAATGGGCCCAAAGTGTGCCAGGAAAACATTTCTCACACCGTCACACCACCAGCAGCCTGGACTGTTGACACAAGGCAGGTTCGTCCATGGATTCATTCATTCATTAACCTGCATTTTACCAGGCAAATCATTACCCACAGTTTCTTATTTACAATGACAGCTTGGCAAGTGCCAGAAAAACAAAACGAAAATGGAAAAATAAAAAAATGAAAATAAAAATAAAACAAAACACATAACAGAATGATTAAACAAAATTAGAACATTTACAAGTGTCATTAAAAATGTCCATTAAGCCTTTGAAGGCCATGACAATAAAGGAATCATGCTGTAGATGCCAAATCTTGTGGAAGTTGTGTGTCTCAGCTGAAATCAAGATTTGTCAGACCAGGCTACGTTTTTCCGGTCTTCAGCTGTCCAAATGTGGCGATCCTGCATGCACTGCATTCTCAGCTTGCTGTTCTGGGGTGACAGGATCGGACTCTCACATGATCTTCTGCTGTTGTAGCTTCCACATATTGTGCACTCGGAGGCTTTTTTGCTCACCACAAGTGTACAGCGTGGTTATCTGAGTTACCATAACTTTTCTGCAAGCTCAAAATAGTTTGACCATTTTCCTCTGACCTCTGCTGTCAACATGGCGTTTCCATCCACGGATGATCTGCCCACTGGGTGATATTTGTTTTTTGCACCATTCTGAGTAAATGAACAAAAAAATCCCAGTAGACCATCAGTCTCTGAAATACTCATACCAGCCCATCCAGCAAACACCAACCATGCCACCTTCAGAGTCACTTACTTCGCCTTTCTTCCCCATTCAGGTGTTTCATGTGAACATTTCCTGAAGCTCCAGACCAGTACATGCATGATGTTGTGCACTGTGCTGCCGCCACACAATTCGCAGATTAGATACTTGCACAAATAAGCAGGTGTACAGGTATTCCTAAGAAAGTGCTCAGTGAGCATATAGTACAATGACAGCAACAAAAAAATGTATAAATATTAATGGAAAACACCCCTATCAGTTCTCTCATTACTTGCCTTTCACTGCTTATCCTGTTCCTGACTGGCATTTAATGAACTTTAGATAAAGGTCAACATCTGAAGGGGTTCAACACCTGCACTTAGTCCCTGGAAAATCAAGGGATAAGAACTACAAGCGCAGCTTCTTCTCTGTGGAGGTTCTTCCACAGTATGACTAGATGTTACCAGCATATGATACTGTATGACCTAACCCTATAACATTGGCTAGACGCTACATATTCCTGAGATTTGGAATATCACTATAGAGGATTTGTCAGAATAGAGCAGGTTTATTTATTTAGTGTTTGTGATTCTGGGTTTATGTTTCTGATGTGATGTAATTGGGCATGGAAGGAAGGACAGCGGATTGCTAGGGGACAGAAGTAATGTCCCTAGACAAACGGAACAGGTCTCACTTCAGGATTATGCCGATTGTTGATGTTTCACTCCAGATCTGCAATGGCAGATGAGCCAAGAACACAAACATCCTCATCTTAGCAACAACTTTCCATTCGCTTTCACAATTACGCCTTCAGAACGGCTTAACTTTGTTTACATCTGTCTGCATTTATTTGCAGTGACCTGGCAGTCGGAGAATATTGAGAGGACTGGACTGATTATGCAGCCTATTCCAGCATCATTATTATGTTGTCAGGTTTCGCTGGAGAGGATAAACTTGGGAACATTACTTTTTACAGTTGTACTTTTCTAACAATTGCAGGCAGTGTCTGGTGCTATCAGAAATGGATTAGCTATGGAGTCTGCATGGGTATCTGGAGTCTGCAGAGCAGAGGTTTGGTTGCTGTGGCATGCGACATGCATTTCGGAGGCAGTATTCCAGGATCTATCATGGCCATCGGGTCCAGTGCCTTTCTGCAGTAATAAACACAACGTGAGATTATTCCCCGAAGTTTGGAACTAGAGGTTATGAGAGCTGGAGAGGAAGAAGTTAAGGGAATGCTTGCAAATATGACTTCCTGTGGGGGTTGCCAAATTGGGGTTTGTCTGCTTCCAAATATGGATTGACTTGCCATGCATTTTCTATTCCCTATTTATATGCTATCCTATTAATACATTAAAATTCACAAATCAGCTATTGCCCTGAAGTTGTGATGCTTGTCAAAGAAATGGTTCTATGTACATGATGATGATTTTTGGTATTTGAGGCATTTGAATCTTATTTCAGCTTGGAAAAAAAAACCCTGAGTGCTTTGTTTTCACTCAGTCAAAAGGTCTTGAGGTTACTTCAGTCGCATTCCAGTGAGTCTCCTTAACAGCTGGCCTGCACCAGCAATCAGAAGCGTTTCTCTGCAGGATATTCGTCGTTATTCTGCCTCTCCTTTGTTTTTTTTTCTGTAGGCTAGGCACTGATACATTCTCTCTCCATTGTCTTTTCTGTAGAGTAGAGACTGATATGTTTTGTCTCCATTGCCTTTTCTGTAGGGTAGACACTGATACATTCTGTCTCCATTGTCTTTTCTGTAGATTAGACATTGTTCCATTCCCCCTCCCCTGCCATTTCTGTGGGGTAGACACTGATTCGTTTTGTCTCCATTGCCTTTTCTATAGGATGGACATTGTTACATTTTGTTTCCATTGTCTTTTCTGTAGGGTAGACACTGATATATTCCATCTCCATTGTCTTTTCCTTAGGGTAACCAAAAGCAGTGGTGATGATTGCTACCGGTGGTGTCATCACAGGCCTCGCAGCCCTGAAGCGGCAGGACTCAGCGCGGTCCCAGCAGCACCTGGCTATGTCCACGCCGGACCCCACACAAGAGAAGAAGCGAACGAGGCGCAAGCCCCGGACTGACGTGGTTGTAGTCCGCGGAAAGATCCGGCTGTACTCTCCGTCTGGGTTTTTCCTCATCCTTGGCGTGCTGATACTGATGGTTGGCATAGCCATGGCCGTGCTGGGCTACTGGCCACACAAGGAGCACCTGCTGGTGCCGGGTTCGAAGCTGTCTGCCAATGACACCCAGGTGACCCAAGGTCATGAAGGCACCGTGTCTCAGTTCTTTGAGCAGCACCTGCACTCAGAGAAGATGAAGATGCTGGGTCCCTTCACCATGGGCATTGGCATCTTCATCTTCATTTGTGCCAATGCTATTCTCCATGAGAACAGGGACAGGGAGACCAAAGTCATCCATATGAGGGACATGTACTCCACTGTGATTGACATCCACAGCCTGAGGATGAAGGAACATAAGTGCATGAACGGGGCTTACGTCGCCCCCTATGGGGAGCGTGAGGTGAGGACGTATGAGAACCAGTGCGCCTCCAAGCTGGCTGCCAACACCCTGCTAACTTTCTCGGGGATGGGGAATGACGTGCGGATGTCGCGGAGGACCAGCTCCGCCGAGGAGGAGGAGAGTCTGCTGAACGAGGCCAAGGGAGCCTCGAGCTTCCTGCAGCCCAGATACCAGGAGCGCTCGGGCTCCATCTTTGGGCTGCAGCCAGAGGGCGGCCGTTACCGAGACGACAGGAGCAGCACCCTGAAGAAATGCCAGACGAAATCCATCGTGTCGTCCTCCATCAGCGCATTCACTCTCCCCGTGATAAAGCTCAACAACTGCGTCATCGACGAGCCCGACATCGACAACATTTCTGAGGACTCCGAGCTCCGAAGGGTCCGGTCCAGACCTCCTTCGATGGAGTCTCTAGCGGTTCCCTGCCTAGACATAGCCAAAGCGTTCATACCCCCTAGCATGGTGCTCCTCAGGAGCTGCTCCATCGAGTCACCCTCCTCCGCATCTTCACAGACTTCTCTGTCGCCGGGGTCCACCAGCGGCCGGTACCTGTCTCCAGGGGCCGCACGGAAGGATTTCGGGTCCAACAACTCCCTCCACATGCTCTCCGCCCACTCCAAGTCCCTAGACCTGGAGAGGGGGCCTAAGACCCTCACGGTTCAGCCCGAGCAGAGGAAGCACCCCAGCTGGCCACGACTGGATCGCAGCAACAGCAAGGGGTACATGAAGCTGGAGAACAAGGAGGATCCCATTGACAGACTGCTGGTGCCCCAGGTCTCCAACAAGCAGGACTACACCAAGAAAGAGAAACTGCTCATGATTTCCAGGTCCCACAACAACCTCAGTTTTGAGCATGACGAGTTCATGAGCAACACTTTGAAGAGGGGCGCCTCAGAAACTAGGTTCTAAAAGCATCTCTCCAGATGAATGGTTAATAAGTCTTACAGTGGTGTTCTCATGAAGAATGTTGTGAATCAGTGTCGGCTGTATAAATCACTCTCTTCACAACACTCTATACTTCTAGGAATTTGAAGCAGCAGAAACGTTTTAACTGATCGTGAGTTCTTTAGGTAGACTTCTCAGGTTATGAGTGTGTGAAATAGACCTTGGAGTGAGGCGAATCAGGTTAGCAGTGCATTGTGCGTGCACTTAGCAAAGAAACGAAAAATGATGCCTGAACATTTGATTATTAACGTATTATGGAGGATGGACATGAAAACGGCAAAAGGGGAAAACAATCGAATTGCCTTGTGTTTTGTTTTAATTGTTACGTTTCTATCTGTGCAGTGATCAGACACAGTATTGTTTAAAATGGTCAGTATATTGTACCAGAGCTGGCTAGATATTTTACTATGGAGCTTTCAATAATTTATTGTTCCTAACACAGCTATTTTTGAAAAGAAAAAAAAAAAACAGTGGAGAGGAAAAGTATTAATGTATAATTTACATTTCTCGTAATAAAATGCAACTTTTCTGCTAATGTCTCTATTGTGTACATCCTCTAGAATATTAAAAAAACTGATAATTTATGCAGTTTATGGCAAAGAGGGAGTCTTTCTCTGATGTGTGGAGATGAGAAAACTATTTAATGTATGATCATGTCTGTTGCCCATCATAAAGGCGTTTAAATTGTACCCAATTTTAGATTTTTACTTGACCTCTTATTAGCTGCGGTTCATAAGCAGCATGGGAGAGTTGGTAGGTAGCTGGCAAGAATAACAGACAAAAAGAGCCCTAATTCCATGTGCTAAACTGGGAAACCCCCTTAAGACTGTGATCAAATATGCATAGAACAAAGAATTTGACCAATGCGATATGAACCATTTCTTAGTTTCACATCATTTTAATTAGTATGATATATCTCACAGCAGAAGTCCTAAAATAAGGAGGCAACGCTATTATGGGATGTTTGGATAATGCTTGTATGTCACATTCAAGGCTCTCATGGGATTTCAATATAAAGAATTGAATAAGAAACTGATACTATATATATATATAGTATATATACACACACACACACACAGTCAGACTAACCTGAAAGGTGGTCAGCACTGCCATAATTAAAATAGTAATAGCAATAATATAATAAAACAGTACAAATAACATTATAACACGTGTATTAAATAAGTGGCACTGGACAAAAATATGATGCTGGTTTTCCTTTTGTAATTACATGATGTCGCCATAGCGGGAAAACCATTCTCCCCTTGGCAGGAAAGTTCTAACCTTCCTGTGCTTTGGGAGTATCGCACTCTGCATTTTGGCAGGTTTTCGAGACTCATTTCCACTGGGATGGATATGGAAAGATGTCCCTGAACACCGGAGGCATTTCAATCACTTGTCACCTTCCTGACATCCATCCATTTGCCAGAAAGGAAGTGAAATTAAACAAATATAAAATAAATAAATACCTTCATACAGGTAGGCATCACTCTTGTTGTATCTGAAATTTGCAATATGCCAATATAAAAGAAGCAGACTCTTATTTTGAAGGTTGTGGGATGAAATTGCACAGAAAGATGAAGCTTTCGTCAATAAACATGTTTAAATTAAGAGTCCTCCTCCCACATGTCAGCATTGATGAAAAATACCTGGTCTTATTTACCTATCCTGCTGCAACGGTTGCGACTGCCGCCGAAAGCGATCGAGGCTGTGGATGAGCTATCAGGCCAGCAATCAAGCCAGCAAAATGACAGGCCTTTCTGGCTCAGCCATCAATGTCTCTCCTCGCTGCCACCCACAGCAATGCCTTCAGAATCAGGCTATTTGTGGCAAACTGTAGGATGAGGGGGACTGATCTGTCTGCATGGGCTAATTTTGTTGTTTTGAATCTAAAAACAACAGCCCCGCGTTTCTAGCCACAATACACATGGTCTTGCTGGCGTTTCACATCATTTTAATTAGTATGATATATCTCACAGCAGAAGTCCTAAAATAAGGAGGCAACGCTATTATGGGATGTTTGGATAATGCTTGTATGTCACATTCAAGGCTCTCATGGGATTTCAATATAAAGAATTGAATAAGAAACTGATACTATATATATATATAGTATATATACACACACACACACACAGTCAGACTAACCTGAAAGGTGGTCAGCACTGCCATAATTAAAATAGTAATAGCAATAATATAATGAAACATTATTATGACATTATAACACGTGTATTAAATGAGAAGCAAAGTAAAACAGAACAACTTAAATGAAAAACCAGAGTGTGTGGTACATATGTAAGGAACAACTTGTCAAATTATATTCCATAGGGAAAAAAAATGCCGCAAACATATTGCCCTGTGATCTGACCATCCTGTCACCGGCGTGGGACCTGGAATAACCTGTGACATAAGGCAGTCGCCAGTTTCTTTTCATTTGCAGAAGCACGGGTCTGATAATTGTTTTGCGTTAATGGAAATCGAGGTCCTCGCTCGGCTGCAAGGTGGAGAAGTCTATCCAGAGATGGAGAAGCTCTCAAGCACAGACAGTCCAAACGCCCGGGCAATTAAAGCACTTTCTCTGGCCCACCGGGATGCATGAGAGTGATGCTACTAGACATTAATCAGGAGAGGAAACCTGACCGGAGACAGTACCTAAGCCTCTGTAATGAAACATGAGATTCATCGGTGAGATTTGCCAATGGTCAAACTGTGCAATGAAAGGTCTACAAGTGAGATAATGTGTAAATAAGGCGTAGGTTACTGGCAGAGAGAATTCATTTCCCTGCATTATGAGAGTAGTTAGATTTATGGGTGAATCGGCAAGTCAGTAATCATTTTATGGATGAAATTTGCACAAAAAAACAAACAAAAATAATGCAGTATTTCCTCTTTTCAGATATTCTCTACTGGGGGAGCTACGTCTAATATTATTTTATATTTGATTACATTTAATATTCTGACATAGCCAATGTTGTACAAGAGACACCAGAGGTAAAAATCAATTGAGCAAGAAACTGAAGTCATACTGAAATTTTTTAATGATGAGAATCCAGTAAAGCTTATCCATTCTCGTCTTGCAAAGAAAGCTAATCTGAAACATAAGCCCTCGATCTTGCTGCTGTGCAGTGCCTCCCAGTGCCGCTCAGTTCGTTTCATAAAGCTCAGTGGAGTTTATCCTACTGGGATTTACTGGATACTTATGCTTCGGGACAGCAGCACACAGAATGACACAAAAAAAAAGGGATTGGATAGCAGCATATAACGGGAAACAGATGTCAGCAGTGGAGTGGGGGAAGGGGGCCGCCAAAGGATTTATTATTTTGATTAAATTATTTACTTGCTGTGGAGCTTCCGGGACAAACCGTCTACTGACACACAGTGTTGTCTGCAGCCGAGTGGACGAGTGTGTCTGTGAAGGTCAGCTGACACACTGCGGTCCCTGACAGTAAATCTCGGCTGCCCTTGTGGTCCATGACCTTGACTTTATCACAGATAACCTTAAATAATGCAGTAACACCCAATATCCACTGCGGCGTTATGACATTATGAAAAAACTGCTCCGTGAGGTTAAAAGAGACTAAAAAAAATGCTAACTGGGTAAAATGGAAATCAATGTAAATATTTAATGTAACTTAAAAAATAGAATATTTTTACCTAGATCATAGTAGAACTTGCATTCAAATCGTAGAGTAATGAATGAATGTATAGCTTCTTTCCACGCCAACATTTTAGCGTGAGTAAAGGGAGGGGGGGGGGCACTTTAATGCTGCGTTCCATTTGAGCTGCAAAGTCAGTATTTCTGTGTTCCCAGTCGGGAATTTCAGCTGGAACGACCCCTGAAGTTGGAATTTCGGAGGAACTCAAGGAGTGAGAAAGAGGGCAGCACCTTTCATCAACAGAAGTAAAATGCTGTAGTTATATATTGTTCATCAGCACTTATGTCGTATTTGTGTAGGTTGTACACACAGTACTGTCCAACCGCTATCTATGGACTTGTTGTTATGGTGTTGGTATGTGCCAAATACCCCGTAATGTGTTATGAACTGGTATGAATGGCTAACAATGGACCTGGCTTGAACTGGGGCATGTGTCACATAAGATTTCTTGCTTAGCCGGATAACTTGTTGGATTTAAGGTAGTCTGGGCTAAAGGTAAGGGGATGAAGATTAAGTTCATTTAACCCAGACTACCTGAAATCTGACAGGTTATCTGGCTAAGCAGGTAATCCTGCTTCATGAAACAGGCCTTAGTAACCCCAACATACTACAGCCTAGTTCATCCATGCCAAACTGCACGCCTTCCAGTGTGTCGCACAAATACTGCTATGTTTGAAAGAGGCATAGAAACTGGAAGCAGTAAAACGTACTAACCTGCCTGGTACAACAGACTGCATCAGTGTTTACTGAATCTCAGAGTGTAGCAAATTAAACCATCTTTACGGCTGGTATGGGAACTGTGTCCAAAAGCCCCAGCACAACAAGCTTAGTAACATTAACCATGTCCAAGCAAGTGATTTCTGCAGAAATTTTCCAAAGGGTTCTTAATGCACTGTGTGCACATCTAAATCGATATCAAAGAGGTTTTTACTGACATAAATAATAAAAACAAACAAGATAAATCATTTCAGTCCTGAGTGAGAGTCTCAGATGAAACAAATGTTCAAAAGTAACCATCTTTAGCGCCTCTTAAAGTACTCAGTGTCCTCTCCCATGCGAAGCAGCGAGACGGGTCAGAGTTTTAGTGCTGAAAACATCTACTGCGTACAAAAGACCTCTGTCTTGTGGCACGGCAGTGTCAGGCTCGAGGTTTCATCTTTATTTCATTTTTACTTTCGCTTTTGTTTTGAGTAGTGTTTCCCAATCTGGTTCTTAGGCACCCGGGAGTGAAAACGTGGTCCGTCTGTGGGCCCCGAGGAGCGGGTTGGGACACACTGCTCAAGAGAAACTCACAGGAAGTACAAAAATAAGAATTTATATAATTCAAGTGTGTACAATGATATATACTGTAAAAAGAACTATAAAACAACAACTTGTAACAATCTGAGGATTTAAATACAAATGAAATTGGGGCAAAAAACTGACAATATCAACATTTGTGAGAGACTGGTTACCTAGTCACTGACTGAGTAGGAAATCATGGTTGTTGTTACATCGCTTAGGAAGTTATTCATAACTGTCTCTGGAGTCATTTGTCCAGAGGAGGTTTTAAGCCTAAAAACAAAAAGAAATACATCAATATGCCGTAAGATCCAAAGCCGCGGAACTCGCCTGAACCGCGAATTGGAATGTTCAGGTAAGTCAATATGCTGTGGGCCATGCATCAGCCAAGGTCACAGGAACATTAATTGATTTTCAAATGTCACTCCATCATCTCACTGCTAAGCATTGAATTAAGAGTGCAGCCATTGAAATGTCTGGTGTTCCAATAATTGTCTTGCAATAATAATTACATCTTAGCTCTTCCATTCTAACAAACACAGACACTCACATGTACTGAGCACCCATGAAATTCTGATCCATGAACCACTTCATCTCTTATTTTTAATTGGGCCAGATGACTAACACAAAGAGCCAAAGGGGGTGAAGATCCTCGTGTTGGCCTCCCCCCGCCTCCCACCCAGATCCTCGTGTTGGCCTCCCCCCGCCTGCCACCCAGATCCTCGTGTTGGCCTCCCCCCGCCTCCCACCCAGATCCT